ACGTGGACGAGGCTGGAGGATACGATCTGGACTTTAGAGAGTTGCCAACAAAACAATGTAAGAACTTTTAGTAATGTGACGTCTTATTGGTTTCTTTTTGTTCGGGTAAAGAGCCCAAATGTGACACCTTTCCCTGTGAAGAGTTTCACATTGAGGCACAGCAGAACAAAGAAACTCTGGGCCCTTTGATATCTGTATTTAAAAAAAGATTTTTATTTCCAAGCAAGAGCCATTCAATCCATGACAAATCCCATTTACTTGAAAAGTCAAATCTCGGCGCTAAAGGCTTACAGGGCGAGCTTGAAACGAGGAACGCTGTCTGCGTACATCTGCGTTAAACCCCCCAGTTTTTATCTTTTTGTCCCCTTCAGCTCCTTTAACTCCACTTTTTCCAGTGAAAGCTGCTGTCAATCACCCTCAGAATTAAAAAAAGCTAATCATCTCTTTGCAGTGGGAGACGCACCTTCAGTGGGTTTTTGTGGAAAAGGATCAAACAGGCTGCTGAGCATTTTGTGTCCCGCGGCCGGATGCGCAGCCTCACAGGTGCTCTCTTCAGGGGAATCTAGTGTGTCACAGGGCAGCGTTTCAGCTCAGTGAATATCAATCACAGACACACACTCCACATATGTGTGTCTGCATCGCCGCGATGCAGTATTCACAGTGGCATTGAATCGTAGGGAGTGAGTCATCCCTGGAGGTATTGTTCTGTTGGCCAATCAAAGCGATGGATGGATGTCCGGTGTTTAGAGTCTCCCTCTGTGCGGCATGCGAAGCAGGAAAATGTGTGTTGCAGGAGGTCGTGGTGCAGCTTGCTCAATTGTTTTCAGTTTCTGTTACTCTCAGCTTGACAGTAAATTTCCATTCCTGTCCTCTGAAACCCAGAAAACTCAAGACGGCTTCACACGAGTACGTTTCTACAAAGACTGGCTCCCAATCACCAGGAAACCTACTCTATAATATCCTGATGATGATGTAAGCAGAGCTTTTCCAGTTTCCAGTGAAACAGTTTTAAATATGATGACATGAATGAGTCTTTGTGACGATGTTAGACTGAAACACAGACTCGAGTGTGGCTGCTAGTGTGTCTACTTTTAGACTTCTCACTCAGCCATTGTCTTCTCAAAGTGAAAGACGATGGTAACTTCCTCGCTTGAGAGACTGTGAGAAATACGCACGGCGTGTTATTTGAAGAACATCAGAGGAGGATTGGCACTCCTGTGTGATGCACGGGGCAAACTGAAGTCAGGGCTCGGTTTGCTTGGTTTGTGTTGTTTTGTTGCTCGTCTGCAGAAACGTTCCTGTCATTAGAGAAAACGTATCCGGTTACATCTTTTGTTTTTTATATAAAAAGTGAATGATAATGGAAAATAATAATTAATATATGGACTTCAGAGAGGTTTTCAACAGTTCTCAGCACGGTCCCTGCAGACCAGGCCGCACTGCTTCACACTGCTTGGTGAGGCTGCTATGAATCCTCACCATCACACACATTTATTCACAGCCCTCGCTGTTAATTCACTGTGTGTGTAGTTTTCTAAACTCAGGTCGCCAGCCTGGCGTTTACAATGACTCGCAGCCGAAGAAGAAATAAAGTGTTTATTAGGATAATAGTGGGGAAATGTCCCGTAAGCCTAATGACAGAGGCACCGCTGATCCTATAGGACTCGTTTACGTTGTTTTGCAGAGTTCGGTTCACAGATAGATGTAATGTCTTCACTGTCAATGATCACAATTACGCCCCAGCAGACATCACTGTAATTATCACCATCAATATGTCCAACAAATGCAGTAAACAGTGCTGCGAGTGCTGCCGGGTTGTACTGCTTATACGCGACATGTCTCTGTAGTCAGAGCTGCCCTGTGAGCGCGGTCCGCTGCGGTGGAAGCATCTATGGTGTGTCGGAGTCTTAGGCTTTCCTGCTGTGAGTTTGTCTTGTGTTTGGAGGTGGTTATGGAGATCGCACAAACATGTGGAGCTGCGATGTTACACTACTTTAAATCAAAGCGCGTTCGGCTCAGGAATGCTCGGCTTGTCAGGAGTGGGCAGCGAGGTTTATATGCTTCATATTCAAGAGTTTACTTTACGTCAATCAGGCTTTTCCTGTTATCATGCCCGACGGGGCCATTTAAGGTGCTTGACCACAAAATGAGATATAAGATATGAATAATTGCATTTTTCCTATTAAGGTTACATCTCTGCGTGTTTGCCTGAAGAGCTGCAGAGTTCTGGGAGGGACGTTGTTGTCTGTGGAGACTTATTGTTAGTGTTGGTTTGTCCGTCCTACAAGCTCTTGAAATAGACTGAAAGCATTTGTTTTCTTGTCACTTCTTACTAATCAAGCCAAACACATCTGAGATTTAGTGCTTCAAACACGTATAGATAACAATAATGTCATTGTGATACCACAGTAAATGTCTGAGCATTTAACTGCGCTCTGTGTGACGTGTCATATTTAGGCCTGTTTGGCAGCGCCTGTAGCACGACTGTCGTACTCTTTTATAGACAATCTTTGTAGTGATAAGGAATTTCCTGCAGCACCAAAGGTTGCACATGATATCAGTGTGAACCTGGTCTTAGGGGTCAGCATGTGTTCTTATGCCAGCCTGTAACTAATGTGTAACACTGACAAGAAAAGACTGTCGTGATCCTTATCAGGAGACATCTGTCATTGTAAACAAAGCTACATTATTAATATGTGAGTCTCTTTGAAGATCTGATGGATAAATAAGGTCAAAGAGAACAAGAACAAGATCTCCAGATCTGAATCTTCAGCAGGGTTATCAGTGCTGACTCTGACTTCACTGAATTTAATAAGAGAACATGCAGAAAGCGGCTGAGTGTACCTTTGTTTTTCTTACAATAAACAACCTGACAACATCCCCTACGCCTCGTGTCAAGAAACAAAGTAATCCATTTGTAGCTGAAGTGTAACTGTTATTTATCATCTTATTATTTTCTTTCAGAGTTCAAACGGGTTCAGGAGAAAGCGCGTTCCTGGCAGGCGCGGCGTACTCGCTCGGTTGGGCGCAGCCCTTCACGTCTCAAAACTAAAAACAGTATTTCACATATTTGTTCTGTTTTTGCCAAGTTTGGCACCGAGGCTGTTTTTTCTCCACAGCATCTTCTTCATTTTTACACCAAAGCTGACGTTACATCAAAGACTTTTGCACAAAGGATTTATGTGTCTCACTCTAAAAGCAAAAAGGCTGCGAGCAAACTGTTATTACCCGACTTAACTCACATGTGCTGGTACTGCTAAAAGGTGAAAATGAGCCGAGGAAAATAGCACAACTTTTCAGCAAATTACATAAAATAAGATCTGCGGAGAGAGAGAGCCTGTGCGGTCCGGTTGATGACCTGAACTAAGTCAGCTGAAGATGTGAGGATGTGTTTGTAACAGCAAGAGTAATGATCTCTGTCCCCACGAGGAGCAGCTGCTGCTGGCTGATTATGGACCCAACTTATCTCCAGTATGCACAGCAGAACCAGTAGCTGTGTGTGTGTGTGTGTGTGTGCGTGTGTGCTGTGGCTGCAGGGCGAGCTGGCGGAGCTCTTTTAGAGACCTGGACCTGCAGGGAGGAGTCATCAGAGTCATGACACAACAGGTGGTCGGTGATGGAGGCGACAGAGAGGGAAAGGAACCCGGGCGAGAAGAGGGAGAGTAGCGACGCTGAGAGGTGGAGATGTGAGGCGCTCGTTAGGAACTCGCCCAGCTCCAGTAAAAACGTCATTAATATTAGTGAAATTAAATTAGAATTAGACTCTAGATCATTTCCCTGTCTCAGGTTAGATTGTTCTTCCCCAAAAATAACAGCAGAGTCGCACCGGACGAATGTTCACATGTAGATTTTCTATAAAGTGATGACGCACTTTTCATTTACATAACACGCGTGTTAAGCTGTAACACCAATAACACGGCTCTTACTTTTAATCCCAAAAATTCACATTTCACATATGAACTTCATATATTCAAATATGTTTTCAGTCAGATGTGGTGAACCTATCAGGATGCAGCTTCGCTACCTGCCCAGTTGTTGCATGTACATACCTGCAGCATCATTATGTAAAACCACAGCTTTTGCCTCAAAATAGGGTTTTTATCCTTTTTTTCTCCCGTTTATCAGACTACGATATCACATGTCCAAAACTACAGTTATGCTTTAATCTGATTACTGTCCCTCATCCCGCTGGCTGGCCTCTGCAGCTGTGGGACAGCGATGCCTGTATCTTATATAACACTCCCCTCCTCGCTTTCCTCTCTCAGCTTCTCTGAACGTTTATGCTGATGATGTGTCAAAACACTCCCGCCTGCCTCCCCATCTCCTCCCGCTGCTGTCAAGAGGAACATCGCTGCCCTTTCTCCTTCGCAAAGACACCAAACTCAGTTTGAAAGCTTTAAAAATTCAGCTGTGTTTGGGTTCGCCCGCCTCATAAATACTGACGAAGAGCCTGCGAGGGCTGAGCGGTCGTGCAGTCAGCAGTGGGGCAATTAGGGAAGCACATTTTGGAGCACAAAGTTTCCTTGTGAGAAATTAAGATGGAGGAATTATTTATGGCTGCACAACCACCGAGCTTCTCAAGGGTCAGATATTGCTGTGAATTGTCCTACATCTGGTTAGTTCCCACTGTCATTCTTTCTTTTCTCCACAGCCTTTTTAATCGGTCTGAGCTTGTAACATTTGCCACATGTCATCCTGATTTTCTCTCCTTCAGGGCTACGTTATTTGACTACATCACAAACTGCGCTTCTCTGACCTGCTACGTTAGCTTAATGCAAGTTATCTCTGACATCTACCCACGTGTTATCGTATCTATGTGATATTCTCGTGAGGTGACGTGTAACAGGGGCGTGTCTCTGGCTGACTTCTATCAGACACTTGATCTGGTCTCGACTTAATCAGAGCTGAAGCAGTGTGACATAAAGCAGCAGTCCGCTCATGCAGTAAATGAGTATCGAAGTCAGTGACCGTCATTTTCTGTTTCTCTTCTCTTTCCGCAGTTTTCATCTGTAGCTTCATGGTGGCAGCTCCCATCTTTGGTTACCTGGGCGACCGCTTCAACAGAAAGGTCATCCTGAGCTGTGGCATTTTCTTCTGGTCCATTGTTACCCTGTTGAGCTCCTTCATCAGTAAAGAGGTACGGCTCTGAGAAACCACACAGCACCACTGCAGCTCCACTGTCAGTGTGTTGGTTCCCCTCATAGACAAGGTTATTATTCTGTAATGATCTGGATACGCTCGAAGTTAAGGCAAGCAAAATGTAATGACATGCTTATTAAGTCAGATACCCGCTCTGCCTTTGTAGACATGCTCTGCCTGCGCCCTCTCTCTGGCTAGCAGCCAGCTAATGAAGGCCTCGCACTTGTCTCGGTTACAATGGTTTGGAAGATAAAACTCATTTCGCTGATCTTTTACAAGCAGATTTAGACTGTGTGTCTCTAAGAACCTCTGTGTGCGAGGAGATGCCGGGTGCTTTAAACGGCCACATCATTCATTCGTGGAGGCCATAAAATGGGGGAAGGGGCGTCCCGCTGAGAGTCGACATCATATTAGAGTAAAAGGCTCGGCTCACGGACGTCTGCGTGGGGGCGTCGACGGGCTCGTGGTGCCTTCTTGACACGACGGTTGTAATGAAAATCTGACAAAGTGACTGAAATATGTGCCTTCAAAGCTGTGTTAGTCAAATTTATGGAGCATGCAGAGCATCGTCACGCTGCAGTGTCTCCAGCAAGTAAACCGCGAGCGGAGCGACAGCTCGGCTCAGGTCCTCTGTCCTCTGTCCTCGACTCGGCTGCTGCGCCTAAGCAGCAAATACATCGAGGCCACTTATAGATAAGTTGAAGTTAAGGAGCTCTGACGAATCCCACAAAGGCCGCTGATGGCTCACGTCCTTTGTCTCCAACTGTGACTCCACCCTTAAGACATGTTCCTGAGCGTGCCGATCAAACGAGACATGATGGCTGTTATATAATAGCTGTGGCACTGTCACCAGGAGACATGAAAGACACGACACGCAATGAAATGCTAACGAGTGCTTACAACAGACTCCTGTCGTGATGCATTTGAGGCGCTCTGGGGCGTTTGGAAGGACTCGCAGGAGATGCAGGATGCAGATCTTACATAAGAGAAATTCACCACAAAGTGAAACTTCATACTTTTCCTCATGACCACAAGATTATGTCATAAAGTGATCACTTGTGCTTCTTTATTTTAACATGTTGAAGTGTATTACTATACGCCAGAAAGACAGCACATTGTGCTGCAGCTTGTCTGCCTCTGGTAGGCTTTATGTTATATTTCCAGGACTGTCCCTGTTTATGCCTTAGTTTAGTAGAAAGCATCACTCAGCGTCACCTCGTTTGTGTCGAGGGTGTGAGACGAGGACATCGAGATCTTTTGTTGGACCAACTCCACAGGTTGATGATCCTTTTTTTGTTTATACTTTTATGACGGTATCATCTTTATAATGGTGTTGTTGCGTGACTGCTCTTCAGTGAATAGCCAGTCTGCATGACTCAGACACAAGCAGGTAAAAGTCCACTTGGAGTTTACTCCAAACAGGAAAACTTTCAAATCAAGCAGAAAGAGAAAAGAAAGGTGGCGGCAAGTTCCAGGTTAGCAGGGGTTAAAAAACAAGAACATCTATGAATAACTGGAAAGCTCTGGCAACAGCACAAAGACAATCAGGCAAGGAACGGTCTTTGTTCCCACAGTACATGTCATGAGGGCACTCACAAAGGGAGTGAAGTGCAGATGAGCAGAGGGAAAAATCATGTGATGCGACTGGCGGGAAAGCAGGAAAGGTGGGAGTGGCTTAGTTAGAAATGACAGAAGAGTTAGAAGCAAGGATGCACACAGAATACAGCACTAATGAATAAAATTCAATTCAGTTTTATTTATATAGCGCCAAATCACAACAAAAGTCGCCTCAAGGCGCTTCATAGATACAGAGAAAAACCCAACAATCATATGACCCCCTATGAGCAGCACTTTGGCGACAGTGGGAAGGAA